TCAGGCACTGTAAAAAGTAGAGGCATTCTACATGTAAGAAAGGGAAGTGGGGACAATTGCTTCTCCCAGTTTTCTGAGGGTGAAAGACAATATGGAGGTTCTCCATGGGATGAAGAATCCTAGAAAATAAAATAGGCTCTTCACTACTGAATTCCACTCTCTGTACACAGAAGGTAAGGTAAAAGTCATTGTTCTTTTCTCTGCTCATGAGCATCTTTTTTTTTTTTGTTATGTCTGCATAACAATAGTTGAAGATTAAATACATAAACTCATTTCAAAACATTATTTCTTGCACAGTCTGCTAATACTGTTCTATCCAACTTAGTTTCTTTTGCACATGCATTGTGGGTTACATATTTCTCTTTTCCCCAACAAATTCTGTACAAAAGCCATTAGAAAGGGAAACTGATATTTGACTCTGCTGATCCATGCCAAGTTTCCATTTCTGTATATTCACATCACAACTCTGACAGGCTATATGAACACTTAGATCTTGAGCACATTAAGAATTTAAGCTCCTTATAGGATTTTTTTTTTCATAAATCACATATTTGCACAAAAGCTTTTCAGATAATATAGTTCATGAAAAAATGTATTAACACTAAACTGATATTTCTGATAGTTACCAGCTTTAGCAGTATTACAGACAACATTTCTACTGCTATCTTGCTAATTTAAGGTGTAGAACTTTACATCTTGTGGTTAAACTAGATATTTGCAAAACCGTATCATTACTTTTTTTCAGCTTGCTACAGTTTCTTAGGCTTCCATAATATAGGTGCAATGTTCCCTGACTGATTTGCTTCCATCCACATCTAGGTTGTTATATTCTGCAGTCACTCCACCTTCCAGTCTGTTTTCAACATCAATTACATTATAGGATTATGGTAACCGGACATAAATGACTGAGTAACTGAAACAGTATCTTGATAAGGTTGTAGCTGGAATTGATGCCTCAGCTATTACAAATTAGTCCAGGTTACTTCAGCGATCGCACTTCCAAGCATAGCTCAAAGTTAAGGTAGACCACAAAATAATAATCTTTTAGCAGAATGGGGCTGCATTTCAAGTCAGCTTGAAAACGTGTGTACAGATCTAGCTGTTTCATCCACAACACTTCCAGAAAAAGTTACACTAAGTTTACCTTCAACCATTCACAAATGGTGTTAAGACACCTGCTTGTATCAGGTATCATAAGATCAAGTCCACCATTAGCCATAGAAACTCACTGGGCATTGGGACCAGTCACCCTGCTCAGATTTACAGATTTGTTCTTATAGGGATAAAATGAAGAGAGATCCCCATATCAGCCATTTTGATCTCTTGAAGGCAAGGCAGGATATAAATCTAACAGATAACATGTCTGAAGAACATATCCGCAGATACCCCATGTATGCAAGGCGTTTGGATTTGTTTTCCAAATAGAACAGCTTCTCCACGCATTTTAGGGGATAACATCTTTTCCACTGAACTGAACGTGAAAATCCCAATTTGGCATAAATTTTGGAATAGAAACTGTGTATTTCACAAAAGTAATCCACTGGAACTGCTTGGCAAAATTTTCTTGTGTTTATATCCCAATAGTAATCCCTGTCTGACAATCTCTAATTTTAGTTTATTTATTGACATTGCCATGTCTTAAGCACTCTTAAGTATATATTACAATAGCAGGTTATCTCTGCATAGAAAGATGAGAATGTTGTATGCTAATATCACAGTGCTTAAGAAATAAGTTATTTCACGTTCTAGTACAATCTCAAACTAATGGATGGATCAGAATATTATAATCTGGGTGATTTAACACTTTATGTTGTGGAGCTTCTCGTAGGTTTGGTTTTGTTTTTTTGGTTTGTTTGAAGCATTCAAGTACATTTTTGAAAGAAAATACTTTCAAATTGATGTGAGCATGCATTTCATGAGGATTTATATTAGAGAAATTGGAAGGAAATGGGGAAGTGCCATAGATTGGTAGTATCAGCTTCCCATAATTTGGTACCCTCCAGTCAGCACCACCTTCATTGATGGGAAATCTAGAAGCTGAAAAGAACTTATTTTGCTCTTTTAAAAATATTATTCTACGGTTCCATCCTCAGATTTGAAAAATCGTTTCAATCCACTCCTTCATACATTACTGCACTAATGAGTAACAGGCCTTTGATGGAAGGAAACTGGGTCAGGCATCCTTGAACTCAGAAAATCCATATGCAAGCATCACCTGGCCTTAGAATTAGAAACTAGTGACCGCCTTCTAATAGGTCTAATTTCTACTAACATATTTCATGATTTAATAGCCACAATAGCTATTTGAGACAAGATTCTCTGCTAAGCTAATGTGAATAAGCTTTTGACAGGAGAAGGCAATTTTGAGTGCTAGAAGCTTTTAAATGCTAAATTAGTGGCATTTGGGAGGAAGCTTTATTTTTCACCAACAGAAAATTAGCTACCAGAAGCTGACAACAAAGGAAGTTATAAATATTCTGAGAAAGATAGCACTAATATTTAAGTCAAAGAACTGT